CAGCAGGAGCATAAGGTAAATCAAGGCTCAAGTCTCTTCTCATATCCCAGTAAAGTGCTCTGTACCCTGGACTGTCACAGAGGGTGAGGGGTGGAAGGTGGGCAGGTTGACACTCATACTCAGTCTTATTTTATCCCATTAGTGATTGGAAGATTTCCTCGGAATCTCAAAAAATTTCCAAGATGGGAAATTTCTTTTCCCCACTAACTCAAAGGCAGCATGCAACTCAACAGTGCAGCCTAGTCAGCCAAGTATGGCCAGATAATTCCCACATCTGTACAACGCATGGTTTCTTAAGCTTTCCTCTTAAATATTTGGTGCCAGACTCTGTCAGAGACAGGATACTGAGCTGGATAGACCACAGGCCTGACTTGGTTTCAGTTTTTATGATCTCCACAGTAAGAGGTTATTTTAAATGATAAGAGATGTGACAAGACACACTAGTATTTCTTAAACACAAACTACCCCCCAGTCTCAGATATTTCTTCTCATCCCTCAGCAATCCACTGGAAAAAGCAGATTACTGAAACACCTCTGCAGGGAATGAAAAGGCTAAGACCTCATCTCAAAAGCAAATTAGGTTGCAGCATTTTGGGTTGTTCTTTTTTCGGTTTCACTTTTCAAAGCATACTGGTTAGGAATAGGGCTTGACTTCCCCTTTGGGCAATTCAAGGAATTGGCTTTTAGAACCAACAAATTTTAAATATGAGGATGGGAAAGATCTGGCAATGACCCACAACCACAGGCTATTGCCCCAGTCAGACATGACTTAAGATTGTTAGCAGCATCCAGAAACAAGAGGGCTTGAGGTAATGTATGCACACCTAGACACGTGCACACAATAAATGTTTTTTTGTAAAGTTTCTAGTTTACCCCAATTGTTGATCCTCTTAACACCTCATCTCAGCTCCTCAAAGCTGAAGTTCAAAGGCAGATCTGGGAAACAGAAAAACAGTGGTGGCAAAATAAAGCCAGAGAGATCTAGCTCTGTGCTGACAAACATGACATGCATAGCTTTTTCCAAGCAATGAAAGCCATCTACAGCCGAACTTCCCACAACCCAACTTTCTTGTGGTTGCAAGATGGCTTGATGCCCCTCAAAGACAATGAATCTATCCAAGCTAGATGGAAAAAGCACTTTGAGGAACTCCTGAACCGTGAGTTGATTGTGATAGATACCACCACTGAGTTCATCCTCCCACACCCTGAAAGGGGATCCCACGCCAACTTTCCTGTCCTACAAGAAGTCTGGCATTCCATCAAGGAAACCAAGAACAGCAAGGCTACTGGAACAGATAGCATGCCTGCTGGCACCTACAAGGTTGACAGTGAGGAACTGGTTCTGAGAGTTAAAATTTATTTTCCAAATTTGGAACAATGTAGAGATCCCAGGGAACCTGAGGAATGTGAACACTGTGACTATTTTGAAGGAGGGAGATAAGCCTGTGTGGGGGAACTGTCGAAGTATCACCCACAACAAGGAAAATCCTCGCCCGCATCCTCCCGACCCATCTTCTCGCTCTTGCTGAGGAAGTCCTGCTGGAATCTCAGTGTGGTTTCAGATATCCTGTAGGGCAATTGACATGATCTTTGTGGCCCACCAGGTCAAGGAAAGTGTCAGGAACAACATCAGGACCAGTATATGGCCTTCATTGACCTTACTAAGGCCTCTGATTCCATCAATCACGAAACTCTGTGGAAAGTACTGGCCAGATTTGGATGTCCAAAAAAGTACATGAAAGTCCTGAGGCTTCTTTATGACCAAATGGGACTGTGATCATTCTTTGTAGTGGACTGGAGTTGGATAGCTTTGCCATCCAAACTGGCATCAAGCAAGGATGAGTCATCACCCCGGCTCTGCTCTCTATCTTTTTGAAAGTCCTCCTGGTTCTCATGAAAGACTGCCTTCCTTCCAGAAATGACACTCCATCTGTTCAGTATTTAACCTGGGACATTTTTGCTCAAAAGACAAAGTAATCAAAACAATCATCCTTGACCTTCAACACACTGATGACTGCACTATCCTTGTGCACACTGAGGAAAACCTCCAAGCTCAGCTGGATCTCTTTGGAGAAGCCTACTTGATTTTGGGCCTCTCTTTCAACATTGAGAAGGAAGTGCTCCAACAGCCTGCCCTGGGCCATGAATGTGATCCCCCTCCCCAAATTATCATCCAGGGAAAGACTCTGGAGGTAGTCCAGCACACCTCCTATCTCAGTAGCCACCTCAGAATGAACACTGATGAGGAGATCCACCATGGAAGTGCCTCCTTTGGTAAATGGCTTCAGTGTTTCTTTATTCGTCATGATCTCTGGAAAGGTCTACAATGCAGTCATCATCCTTTCCACACAGCTCTTGAGAGAGCAGCTCTCCACACAGCTTTTCACTCCTTCTCAAGCCCAGTCAGCCAAATTTACAACACAAGAGTTACAAAACTATGGTCTTAACCTGGGACAATCTCACCCAATGCAATTAAACACTGAGTCACGGGGAACCAGTCATAACCTGTTCTTTCAGGCCTAAACTGCCATCTGCCCGTAAGGTAAAAAGGGACACAGATATCCTACATAGATAACTATTTGCAAGCATTATTTACAGTAAAGCCTGCCCCAAAGCGTTCCCTGCCCACTGAGCCTGCCCCGAAGCGTTCCTAACAAGAACTGCAGGCTAGAACTTAATCCACTTAGCTTCCTTCATCATACCCTCAATAACAAAGGTCAAGTAAAGGAGCCACCTGCTGTTGGGCTCAGAGTTTGAATTACGGGACAGCTTGAGGGGGGGCCTAAGCCCCCCATGAGATGAGAGTGCCCCCCCCGGTAAGAGATGAGAACCCACCCCACAAGCCAGTCATTACCTCCCCCCTTGTACTTTCTGGC